TTTAGTTGCCCTTTCTGAACCTTTTCTAGTGCCAGTATATCTTTTTTTAAATGAGGAGACCACATCTGTACACAGTATGTTCTTATATTAATTTGAAAGTAGTGTCTGTTGGTCCACACATGCGCTCTTGCTCCACCTCATGGTTTCATCCAAGGCAATAAAGGGCGAGGTGGACTGACCACGCCCCCAGTTCCTTCTCACCACCCCCCATGGTCCAAGTTGGAGCTGCTAGTATCCCCTCATCTCTCACTGACACACTCTTGGGTACGGCTTGGGAAGGACAGGCAGATACTGCACCTGGATGAACTGTAGACTTCTCCCAAGCACTAGAGACAGACTTGGCACTTGTTGTTGACCAAGAATGAATGAAGGCAGGATGCGCAGATTTTGAACCCTGGCATCTTCGGAATAATTCAGTACCCATTCGTGGGTGCTGGGTGGGGAGGGGGGGACTGGTGAAAAAACAGATCCCAAAGTCTCTTAATTCCCCAAATTAACACTAAAACCCACTAGAACTACAAGTAAAAACAACAAGAACATAAGAACATACTGGTTGGCTGACTCCCCAATCCTGTTCTGTCAGGAAGAAAGCTCTGTCTCCTACAATGACTCCCCAATCTGCGTTCCATCATGAGAAACCATATTCACGGGGCATTTCTGGTGGCCACTTACTGCGAAGCACAGTGGAATGCAGTTTGGGGATAGGGGAGCAGGTGCACTAATGCTGGCAAGTTTCTTCATGTACCTGTTATATGCTGTCTCTTTGTTAAATACCTTTCCAAAGAAAGAACTTCCAATGCCATCCAAAACTCCCAGATGAGCAAGAGATACATCATCCTGTCATAGACTCATAGAAGATTAGGGTTGGAAGAGACCTCAGGAGGTCATCTAGTCCAACCCCCTGCTCAAAGCAGGACCAACCCCAATTAAATCATCCCAGCCAGGGCTTTGGTCAAGACAGGCCTTAAAAACCTCTAAGAATGGAAATTCCACCACCTCCCTAGGTAGTCCATTCCAGTGCTTCACCACCCTCCTAGTGAAATAGTGTTTCCTAATATCCAACCTAGTCCTCTCCCACTGCAACTTGAGACCATTGCTCCTTGTTCTGTCATCACTGAGAACAGCCTAGCTCCATCCTCTTTGGAACCTCCCTTCAGGTAGTTGATACGCTCCAAAGCTGGAACTGGAGCCAGAATGGAGGGCTGTTTTGGAATCGATGGTTGCCTTGATTTAGGGGGTGCCAACTTGGAAGGCATGCGTGGTTTCTGGTTGGTACCGATGGATCTGCCAACCTGTGCAAATTTTTATCATGCTTTTGTGCATTGGAACATGCCACTTCTCCATGGGTGGAACTCATGGGCATCACCCTTCTTGGGCCTGGAAGAAGACTTACTGCCATGCTTATGAGCATGCTTCCTTCCCTCCCAACTAGGCACTGGTATGGGGTCCATAGTGCTGGTACTGGCTGAACTAGACTCAATCTCCGTGGTGGAGGCGTGCTCCTGGGTTTCTCAGACTGATGTACAGGAGGGTTCCCCAGCATGGATCCAATTGAGGCCTCACGGACACCTCCACGAAGTGCTTCTTGAGGCAGAGAGCACAGCCCTCTTGGGTACGGCTTGGGAAGGACAGGCAGATACTGCACCTGGATGAACTGTAGGCTTCTCCCAAGCACTAGAGACAGAGTTGGCACTTGTTGTTGACCAAGAATGAATGAAGGCAGGATGCGCAGATCTTGAACCCTGGCATCTTCGGAATAATTCAGTACCCATTTGTGGGTGCTGGGTGGGGAGGGGGGGACTGGTGAAAAAACAGATCCCCAAAGTCTCTTAATTCCCCAAATTAACACGAAAACCACTAGAACTACAAGTAAAAACAACAAGAAAAACTCTGCACAATTCTAAAAATTTTTTTAAATGTGTCAGTGAGAGATGAGGGGACACTAGCAGCTCCAACTTGGACTGTGGGGGGCGGTGAGAAGGAACTGAGGGCGTGGTCAGTCCACCTCGCCCTTTAATGCCTTGGATGAAACCATGAGGTGGAGCAAGGGCGCATGTGTGGACCAACAGACACTACTTTCAAATTCTTTGGCTCTGGACACATGTGCATGTGTAAACCCTCAGTGGAATACAATAGGGACCATCACTCGAAAAGGAACCAAACAAATCTTTGTGAGGAGGATCATGTGACTGATTTGCATGTGGATAAGGACACCTCTGTGCAGGAGCTGAAGGTATAATTTCCAGCATGGACAGAAATACCCATAGTGGCTTTCATTGAGCTAGTGCACTATAAAGAGTGGTGTAGCTGCAGTGGCACGGGCAGTAGGACCGGCTAGCCACACCACATACAATTCCGCCCAGGGCCTAGGTGCAGCTAGCCCATCTTGCTGCTTGAGCAGTGGTGACTACATGTCTATTTTTAGTATGCTAGGTCAATCAAAAGTAGTGTATGTACATCTATCCAAGCTGGAAATTACATCTCCAGCTGCCATGTAGGCATGCCCTTAGACAGAAACTTCCCTGAGGACATTAAATAAAGAAAATTAAACAAAAAAAAAATCAAAATCTGAGTATGGGTTTCATGTGGAACTGAACTGCATTTCAGTCAAGAGTCTTTATGTGTATGAAGATACAGCCTTATGGGGACATTTCTCAACCTACTTTGATTTAAAACAAATCTTTCCTGTTGCTAGTTGGGCAGTGGCCTCAGTCTGCTGCTGCCGGACTTGTGAGCTCTATCAACTCCCCAGGAGTGAGAATCCTGCTCATTTACACCAGTGCATAGCAAGAGTCATTGCGCCGTGGAGGTCTATGGATTTGCCCCAGTGTAAATGAGAGACGAATCAATCCAGCCCCACAGTAGGAGAGACAGAGAATTACTTACTGTCCGTCAATCTGCTTCCCTGAAGAGATCATCTCTCAGGATTTTCACTCACCCACCTGCCTCCCCTGGGAGTTAGTGAGCTTTGAGTGTTGAATGCTGGGTCTGCCCACTGGGCACTCAGTTCTGAATTGCCCAGCTCATTCTTTTGTATTTGTTTGAAGGAAAAAAATGGGTAGCTTTTTAATTGCCTGTCAGGAGAGCTCCTAGTTCCCATTCTTGAAAGGAACTGGTTGCAAACTTTAAAGCCCTTGAGGTACCACTGTTTGGAGCATGCCCATAGGGAGCATGTGAGGTGGATTGGAGAAGAGCCCTGGAGCCCACGTACAGGTGCTTCAGAAGGCCTTAAATTACTCCTGGGAGAATTATGCGCCACAGCGCAATGCAGAATTTTGCAGAAATTAACATGGTGTGCACAGAATTTCCTTTCCCCCACTGCTAGCCACCACTAGGGGCTGCTGGACCCAGCAGAGCCCAGCTCGCACATAGAAGACACTGCTGAGGAGCTAGAGGGTTCCCAGCATGCCCTGAGGGAAGGAGAGGGTGGCACACAGGAAACTCCATGCAAGCCTTGGACGGAGCATCAGGCTTTTTCTCCTTCTGGATCCCTGGGCTCGGGGTGTGTGTGCGGGTATCTGGGCCGGGGGCCCCCGGGGCTGGACTCTGGGGCGGGGAGGGGTTGTGGGTGTTTGGTCCCCTGGCTGGGCTCTGAGGGGGGGAAAGGAGGCAGAGAAACAGGAACTGGGTTGTCACAGGGGTTTCTTTAACTCTACTCCTGGGGGAATTTTTGTGTGTCTTTGTACTGTTACAGACATACTTGCTGACAGGAATTTTGAAATAAATTACCCAAATAATTGAAACTGGTATGATTATGTAGTGTTATTTTGACAAATAAAATTTGCAGAATTTTGCAGAATTTTAAAATATTAGGCGCAGAATGCCCCCAGGAGTACTAAATACATAAATGCCAGGACATTTCCCACGAGTAACCCTGGAAGTATGAGCCCCAAGAGTGAGAGATCTGTGATATGATGCCTTCAGAGAAGCAGAATTACCAGCAATTATCTCACACTATGTGCTGGGGATACTTATGTGCTAAATTGCAAAACCATGGGATAAAAAATGATTGCAAACATTATTAATTTATAAATGTACTCACAATTTAGCATGCATCTTTTACTGCTCTGCCCTCTTCCCATTACCCCACTTTTCCTGGCCTACTGCCACCATTTCTAACACCCAAGCAGCTTCAAATTACTGCCCCTTTACACTCAGACTGCGAGGAAAATGTTTTCTTTTTTCCTCCCCAAATGACACTATGCTTGATTTATTGGATGAGCAATATAGTGGCAGGTTAAAGTCTGTTATCTCTTCTGTGGCTGTAAATAGAGAGATACTAGGGTGATCAACATGATAGATTATCTTGTAGGGCTTTCGTCACAAGGAGAAATAAAAAAAGAGTAGTATTAGAAACACAAAATGCTACACACTGATACATACCAGAGTGCTGGTCACCATTTCTTCAAACCACTTGGATTGGGCTTGATTATAAAGATCCACACAACGCATCAGGTCATCTCCTGAAAGATCAAGATATCAGTAAGTCATCCTCCTAGTCCTCATAAAGGAATGGAGTGGGAAGTGACAGATTACTTTTCATTTATAGTCATACATTTGAAGGCCAGAATTGACCATTAGGTCATCTAGTTTGACCCCCCCTGCACAGAACAGCCATAATTTCCGGATGAACTAGAGCACATCTGTATTAGATTTGTTATGTGCAAACAGAAAACAATCTCACCATATACTCAGTGCTAGAAAAGGGCCAGTTAGCCAGTTTCCCAAAGCTGAAAACATTTATTAGCAAAACTAAGCGGGTGGGTGGGTGGGCGGGACGGATTTACACATAAAAATGTGAACGATAATTGGGACTCCTTTAAAAACATTTTACTAGGTGCCCAAAAAGCCACAATTCTGCAGTCATGAAAGAAGGCAACTTCAGTTCAAAATACATCCTGGTTAAGATGAAAAGTGAAAGCAGCAATAAAAAGTTTAAAACAACAACTTATGACAAACTGAAACTAGGAGAATTTGAAAAAAAACGGTTACTTACCTTCTGTAACTTTTGTTCTTCGAGATGTGTTGTTCACATCCATTACACATTAGGTGTGAGCGCGCCGCGTGCACGGACGTTGGAAACTTTTTCCCTTAGCGGCTTCCGTCGGGTCGGCAGGGTCCCCCCCTTCCCGCCAGAGCAGCGCCCCGCTCTAGGGTATATATATCCCTGCAGACCCGACCCCTTCGGTTCCTTCTTGCCGGAGACTCCGACAGAGGGAAAGGAGGGTGGGAAATGTAATGGACGTGAACAACACATCTCGAAGAACAACAGTTACAGAAGGTAAGTAACCGTTTTTTCTTCTTCGAGTGATTGTTCACGTCCATTACACATTAGGTGACTCACAAGCTTACTATTGGAGGCGGGTAGGAGTCAAGGTATAACTGATTGTAGCACAGCCCTGCCAACCACTGCGTCCTCTCTGGCCTGATGGTGGATCGCGTAGTGGGCTGTGAACGTGTGCACGGACGACCAGGTGGCCGCTTTACAGATTTCCTGGATCGGAACCTGCGCCAAGAAAGCCGCCGAGGACGCTTGGGCCCTAGTCGAGTGAGCCCGGATCTCTGGGGCTGGTACGTTGGCGAGCTCATAACACGTGCGTATACAACGCACAATCCATGCTGACGAGCGCTGTGTCAAGATAGGCAGGCCTCTCATACGTTCCGCAACGGCAATAAACAGCTGAGGTGTTTTGCAGAACGACCTGGTCCGCTTCAGGTAAAACGCCAATGCCCTCCGAACATCGAGGGTATGCAGGCTGCGGTGGCTAGGGTTCGCATGGGGCTTAGGGAAGAACACTGGTAGACAAATGTCTTGCCCCATGTGAAACTGCGAGACCACCTTTGGAAGGAATTTAGGGTGCGGCCTTAGTTGCACCTTATCCTTATGGAAAACTGTATAAGGGGGTTCTGAAGTGAGGGCCCTCAATTCCGATACCCTCCTGGCCGATGTGATGGCCATGAGAAACGCCACCTTCCACGAGAGGTGCATGAGGGAGCAAGCGGCTAGGGGTTCAAAGGGGGGCCCCATGAGCTTAGTTAGGACTAGGTTCAGACTCCACGCAGGGACCGGTGGGCGCGAATAGGGAAACACCCTCTCCAGTCCCTTGAGGAATCGGGCTACTGTGGGGTTGGAGAACACTGACACTCCCAACTCCCCCAGATGGAACTCCGATATGGCAGCCAAATGTACTTTAATCAAGGCGGGGGTGAGCCCTTGATGCTTGAGGTGCAGTAAGTAGGCCAGGATTGATGGAACTGAGGCCTGCGGAGGCTGTATGTGCTGAGGCTCGCACCAGTGGGAGAACCTCTTCCATTTGGCCAGGTAGGTCGCTCTTGTGGAGGGCTTCCTACTACCAAGGAGAATTTGCTGTACCTGGTGAGAGCACCTGTGTTCCGCATCGTTCAGCCAGAGAGATACCACGCTGTGAGATGTAGCGACGATAGGTTCGGGTGGAGCAAGCGACCCCTGTCCTGTGTGACTAGGTCGCGATGGAGGGGGAGGGTAATCGGGTTGGCTATGGACAATTCCAGCAGGGTTGTGAACCAATGCTGTCGTGGCCATGCCGGGGCGATGAGGATGATTGTCGCCTTGTCCCTGCGGGTCTTGAGGAGGACCTTGTGGATGAGCGGGAATGGAGGGAAGGCATACCCCAGGCTCCCTCCCCATGGAATCGCGAAGGCATCTGCCAACGACCCCGGGCTGAGGTTCTGGAAAGAGCAAAACTGAGGGCATTGCCTGTTGTCCTTGGTGGCGAAAAGATCCACCCGGGGAAACCCCCACCTCCGGAAGATTGAATGCAGGACATCCTGCCTCAAAGCCCATTCGTGCATGTGGTAGGATCGGCTGAGGCGGTCTGCTAACCTGTTTTGGATCCCTGGGAGATACGTTGCGATTAGATGGACCGAATGGGCTATACAGAAGTCCCATAGACGGAGCGCCTCGCGACAGAGGGGAGAGCACCGGGACCCGCCCTGATTGTTTATATAGAACATGGCGGTAGTGTTGTCCGTCAGAACTGCCACGCTGTGACCTTCTATGGTGGCGTGGAAGGTCTGACAGGCGAGGCGAACCGCCCTCAGCTCCTTCAGATTGATGTGAAGCAACCTGTCTTCCCTGGACCACAGCCCCTGGGTCCGCAGTTCCCCCAGATGCGCCCCCCAACCCAGGTCCGATGCATCTGTTACTAACGTCAGAGTGGGTTGTGGGGCAGCGAAGGGGATCCCTTCGCAAACCTGCTGTTGATCGAGCCACCAGCGGAGGGAGCTCAACACCCAAGCCGGAATTGTCACCACCAGATCCAAGGGGTCTCTGTTGGGGCGGTATGCTTGGGTAAACCACAGCTGCAAAGGTCTGAGCCTTAGGCGGGCATGTCTGACTACGTGAGTGCAGGCTGCCATGTGTCCCAGGAGCTGCATACAGCACCTTGCCGTAGTCGTGGGAAATTTCTGGACGGAGCTTACGATCCCTTGAATTGCCAAGAACCGCGACTCTGGGAGACTTGCCCGCGCCGTCACTGAGTCCAGGACTGCACCTATAAAGTCCAGTCTCTGCGTGGGAGTTAACGTGGACTTGGGCACGCTGACCAGTAGGCCGAGCCTGCCGAACATCTGTAAGGCCAGCGTCACGTGGGAGCGGACCTTGGCCTCTGACCTGCCTGCGAGGAGCCAGTCGTCCAAGTACAGGTACACGCACATCCTTCTCTTCCGAAGGAAGGCTGCTACCACGGACATGCATTTCGTGAACACTCGCGGTGCCGATGCTAGGCCGAAGGGCAGGACCGTAAACTGAAAATGGCGCTGGTTGATGGTGAAGCGCAGGAACCGCCGGTGGGCCGGGTTGATGGCGATGTGAAAATACGCATCTTTCATATCGAGGGTAGCGTACCAATCCCCCGGATCCAGGGATGGGATAATAGTTCCAAGGGAGACCATACGGAAACGCGTTTTGACCAGAAACTTGTTTAGTCCGCGCAGGTCCAAAATGGGACGGAGGCCCCCTTTTGCCTTGGGAATCAGGAAGTACCTGGAGTAGAATCCTTTTCCCCTTAGGTCTGGTGGGACCTCTTCCACTGCTCCCACTGTGAGGAGGGTCTGCACCTCCTGCATGAGAAGTTGCTCGTGAGAGGGGTTCCTGAAGAGGGACGGGGAAGGGGGATGGAAGGGAGGGGGCGAGGAAAACTGGAGGGTATAGCCCGCCTTCACTGTGCGCAGGACCCAGCGGTCCGATGTTATGCACGACCATGCACGGTAGAAATGGGACAGACAGTCCTTGAAACATAGAGGTGGATCCGGAATGGGATGTGGTACGCTGTCCTCGAGCGTAACTTCAAAAGCCTGGTTTATTTCCTGGCTGCGGCTTGCCCTGGCCATGACCTTGGTCTTGGTTAGGCGTATTGTTGCGTCTCCGCCTGTTATCCCTGCCACGACAGTGGTACAGTTCGTGCTGAGGGCGAGGGTGGTACTGCCTCTGTGGTGGGTGGGGCTTAAAGGGCTTTCGCTGTGTCACCAGGGTATGCATTCCCAACGACTTTAGGGTCGCTCGCGAGTCCTTGAGGCTATGTAGCCTGGCGTCCGTTTGGTCTGAAAACAAGCCTGACCCTTCAAACGGAAGGTCCTGCAGGGTGGTCTGCACCTCTGGCGGAAGGCCTGAAGCCTGTAACCATGCCGAGTGCCTCATCACTACCCCTAACGCGACTGTCCTAGCCGCTGCATCAGCGGAGTCAAGGGAGGCCTGCAATGAAGTTTTGGCCACCGCCATCCCTTCGTCCACTAGGGCCATGAACTCTGGATGTGCGTCCGGAGGCAGAGATTCTTTGAACTTGGAGACTGATGCCCAAGAATTAAAGTTGTGTCTATTTAGAATCGCCTGCTGATTAGCGATCCTCAGCTGGAGGCCCCCAGACGAGTAGACCTTCCTCCCGAATAAGTCCAAGCGTTTCGCCTCCTTGGCCTTGGGCACAGGGGCTTGCTGGCCATGACGCTCTCGTTCGTTGACCGCAGAGACTACCAGCGAACAAGGAGACGGGTGCAAAAAGAGGAAGTCAAACCCTCTAGATGGGGCCAAGTATTTCCTCTCCACGCCCCTTGCAGTTGGTGCACTGGAGGCCGGCGTTTGCCATACCGTCTTGTAGTTAGACTGGACCGTCCGTATAATCGGGTGAGCGATTCTGGAGGGGCCTTCCGGGCTCAGGATGACGACCATGGGGTCCTCCTGCTCTACGGTCTCCTCTGCCTGCAAGCCCAGATTGAGGGCTACCCGGCGGAGCAGGTCCTGATGCGCCTGATGATCAATCGGGGGAGGGCCAGACACTGTTGTGCCCGCTACGGCCTCGTCCGGCGAGGAGGAAGAGGTCTGGGCCTTTCGCCCATCCTCGCCTTCCTGCAACCCGTCATCGATTGGTTGCTCCTCTGAGGCCTGTCCCATGGCGTGGGACTGAGACGGTACCGTGCTCGGTGCCGAGTC